TCCGTGTGAAGCAGATATCGGACCTGCCTTTTAAGTTGAGCTATGATCATAATCTAATGTAGTGAACAATGTATTTTTACTCCAAGACACTGGGATGGTTGAGGTCTTGCATCAGCACGATTGCTGTGACAGTTGCCGCTTGGGACTAGGACCATCCCCTCTATCTTTTACCTTCCCGGGAATAGAGACAGAGTCACCTAGAGCAATGTGCTTCCCATGGCTCATCGCTGTCCCAACTTGGAATCTTGGCCAGTAGCTATACAAGCAGGATCAATATGATGAGCAAAACAATTAACACCGAGTAACTGAGGCGAGCACCCACATCGACGTCGACGTCGTGCTGTGTTTTGGTCACACCAAACAACGTGCTTACCGGAAATCTGCAACATTGATGCTGGCTTTTAGAGCCGTAAAACGGATGATTCGACGTGCATTCTTCGCTTTATATGTGAAGTGAGGTACTCTTCGGCACTTTTACTTGCGCTTAGTAACTGAGGTTTGCTTTTAAGAAATGGTTCATATTTCCCCAACCGTAGCTGTTTCAAGCCTATCCCCCTTTCTTTAAGGGGGCGTGCTGGGTGAAAAGTTCTGTCAGATCAGCTTTGTAGCGCTCGTTATTAAGCTGAAGGCTCACGCGTATTCGCGTGTGAGATAATTTTGAAAGCGCAACGGGCTACTTTGCACGATCAAATCTATTATTCCTTCGTCGCCCGTAGAGACTGTATCGGAAGCCGCTGTGACTCGTCGCTTGCCAATGCTTGCAGACAGGCACGTTGAGCTCTCTGAGCGCTAAATCAAACCAGAATTAATAACTCGGTAAGAGTACCGATAGCACTATGAACAGCGGCGATTGTAGAAATCGTACGCTGCTCATGAGGTTGTATCTGTCTAAGGGTTTTACAAGCCAGTTTTCGCTGAGTGACCTCTGCTTAGAAGAATCTGACCAGGTCCGACTTATTGTAAAGAACTGTATTGCTCATCGCAACAGTTTGCCGAGCTACTTTACACCTTATGAAGCGGAAACAAAGTGCTAAATTCGTGGAGAGGTGAAAAGGAGCGAGCGAAACGACTCGCCCTCGAGGGGAGATTGTAGTAAGGAGAAAGCTTAGCCATAAGTCCTCGTTGAAGGCGCGGGAGCTTCTTCGGGAAATGAAAAGTCATTACGGTTATTTTCATCGATGAACACCTTGGATGCCTCACCCGCCAAAGATCAATCAGGCGCGATGTGCTAATAGTCTACTCAGCCACACTATACTTGGAAGAACATCGCATATCGAATTAAGGACCAGGAATAGACAAAATGCCATGCCGTCAAAATCCTATAACGTCACTTGAAGACTCAAAACATTAACGAGTACCCCTGTCACAAGACACGCGAATGCATTATCAGTACTCGTTTTCATCAATGCCTCCGGTTTTTGTGTACCTTTTTATATCGTCGCGCTCCGTACGTTAATAAACAACGATCCTGGATTTCTCAGGATTTTCCACACCAAGCCCATCTAGTGTGACACACACCCCTGTTACCAGGGAGCTTGATATTGTTAATCGACAACCAGGTTAACTCTCGTGAAGCAAGTCGATCACTGAAGGAAGAAATTTCACTGTCTCCATCCTGTTGAGATACAATATACCCGTCTTTTCCTTAGAAAGCCTCTCTGCATCAACATTTTAAGTGACAAGCTCATTGGTTGACCCGCGCGTGTCGACTTGAACCTTTGCACCTCTCAACTAAGGGAAAAGGGAAAACACAGAGTGCAGGTGTTCAATACTACCACAGAAGTTGCATCTACAGGTATGACGATGCTGCGCAACAGCTTTCTCAGCATGACTACCTCTGGTGCGCTTGCAGAGCTTCTACCACACAAACCTATCCCAGTCCTATCCCAATCTTTGGGACACAGGCCTTGCGGCTCGAAATCAATGCGATCCCCCACGACGTTCAAGGGGACGTGAATAGTCTTGCTGTGAGTCGCACCTATTTGTGGGCCCTCTGTGTAGAAGGTAATTGTTACCGTTTTCGGGTGAGAGTCTGCCGTAATGCCGACAAAAGTTGTCTAAATAATCAAGCGGACTCCGCCGATTCTACCGTGCCTTGTTGTGTGAGCTTGAATTTTGATCGTACAAACAACGCACGGTTAGGCGTAAGTAACAGCCACCACATCTGTTGCTAAACGCTTTTCATACCGGAAGCGCCGAAGTCCTCTTCTACAGAGGCATTGCACCTAAGTACCTATCAAAGACCGCCAGCACAATGCACTGATACTCTGCAAAATCTTCCAACCAAAAGATAGGGTTTCTCGGTCTCTGCCCACCAGAAGGCTTGACGTTAAGTCAAAGCGGCTTCACTCTATTGAGCTATGTGGACTGCGACTTCATGAAATCACTTCTGACCAAGCTCATCGCCAGCATTTTAAGTCGGTCGAAACAAGGAAAGTTTTCATGCACAAGCAAAGTAATAAGGTGCAGCATTCATCGAATTTTGCCCTGTTTGGGGCGACGGAAGGAAAATTTTGTACTAATGAAAAAGATCAGTTCCTACTAGTATCACTCAGGATGAGAGAAATATCAATCGCTTTAAGGTAAACGTAGCGGTGAATATAGCACCAAAAGACAATGTAGATAATCTCAACTCCCGTGCTGTAGCGACCATACAAAAAGTTGCTAACCAAAGGATTATTCAGAAATTGCGCAGAAATAATCATTGATACACTTCAAGCAGTTGGCATTGTGTCACAGCAAATGAGGCTGGAACCAAGTCCGAACGTCATTGATTGTTGTTATATCGCTGTCAATGATAAATGAGATTGACCATTACAACCTCATTAAAATGTAAAGCAAATTGCACATTCAATTCGGCACAAAAAAAATGATTGTTGTGTACTGACATACAAGTACTGTACATGTATATATATATACCTTTTTCCTATTAATATTGCTGAACACATGACGGTAGCTGATGCCGCCATCGATACACCAACGTCTCCAAAGCTAGACCTGGTGCGTCGCAAGCTAGACATGACTGATGCCGAGGATGAAGATAGTGATCCACCTACGGTTCACGAGCTCATGCAAGAGGTCAATCGACTCCAGCACCGTATCGGTGACGACCAAAGCATTTTCGCAGAAGACTGCTCATTAGAGCGCACGCTGCCGCGATACATACCGAAGATGTGTACGACGAGCAAGGCACCTGAACACTTGTTAAGACCTGGCATTTACCCAGGACGAACGATTGCTAGTAATGTCGGCAATATATCGCCTTACAAGAACGTTGGAGCAATGGCACGCAGTGAATTTGGGCTAATGACACCACCTTCTAAACGCCGAGATATCGTGACACCGACAAGGCCCCGCACAGCCCCGCGCCCCACGCGGGTGGCAGCTTTAACACGTGAAAATATTTCGCTGTTGCCCAAGCCGAGAGCACAGATCTACACTGGGTCCGTGTGCGGCTCGCAAATTTCCCGCACAAGCATCCGCACGGATGGTGGTGCTGTTTTTTCGCGATTGTACCAACCAGATTTTTACAAGAACCGTGACGAAAAGTTAAAAAATATGCGCGACCGCCGCGAAAGTCTTGACTGCTCATTCACGCCGCATACTAATCGACGTGGCTCTACTTCGCCCCGAGGATCAATTGGCTCAGGCTCTCAAGCGTCAATGATATCATCCAAGACGGATGTTGTTAATGTGTCGAGTCGTTTGTATGATCCTGATTATGTGCGTAAGCGCAGTGCACGCTTACAGCGCATGCGGCAAGAACGCGAAATGCGTGGATGTACCTTCACGCCCACAATAAATTCAACGACAACCTGCAAGAAACTGTAGCCAAAATTTAACAATGTGTAGCCATGTCAGCAAAGTTATCCATTTCAAATTTGACAGAGATGAGACCGTACGACACAGGTAATGTCACAAATGAACTACTGTATTAATAAAATATACTGCCCTACTTTGTTGCATTTTCAAATACATGCCGACAAAGAAGAAACCATTTAGTGGGAAGGCCAAGAAGCAGCAGGTGCAATAGATGACGTGGTGGATATGGACGGTAATAATACTGACTTTTGCTGCTGGTTGGCTTTTCAATAGCTTCGTGATAAGCGAGCCAAGAGACGAGACGCACCTGACTCGGATGATGATGCTTGCGGCTCGGAGGTGCAAACAGTGCTTCCATTGTCACAACCGGTAGAAATCGTAGTTGTAGCAGCTTCATTGCTTTTGTGTAAGTAGTTTCCATTAATGCATTTTCTGTCTGAGTGATGCAGGCGTTGTCTGGACGAAGAGACCTCCGTACGATACTGCAAAAAGAATCTAAGGCCGCTATCGACGCCAGAAAAAAAGACGCGACGCGCGAGCTCGTGTATGCAAAAGATCGCGGCAGCTCACAATCCATTTATTCTCTAGGCATTCACAAAACAGCTAACCAGCCATGTATCTTGACCAAACCGATTTGGTCACGAGACATGACGCCAGATGATCTGAACGAAGTCGACAATCGGGCCTATCAGGAGTGGATAAACTATCTTGAGCAAGAGACATTAAAGCGTAAGGATGGTGCGCAGCTAAACCTATACGAGAGGAATTTAGAGGTATGGCGCCAACTGTGGCGCGTTGTTGAGCGCTCTTCTGTGCTCGTACACCTCGCCGACGCTCGCTGTCCTTTGCTACATATAAGTGATCAACTTATTGAGCATACTCGAACACAATATTCATCAAAACGAGTGGTGCTTGTACTCACAAAGACCGACTTAGTGGCAAATGAACGTGTTGAGGAATGGTCAGATTACTTGCAAAGAAGATTTGGAAATGATATTCCTGTACTTGCATACAGCCGCGATAACATCGATGAGAGCAACGCGTTGTTGATGCGAACCATCGGTGAAGTAAGCACGCTTATCGATCACAGCAGCCACGATGATAATTGCTCCGAAGTAGAAGTTAAAAATGGAACGCTTACGATCGGATTCGTTGGAGAGCCGAACGTTGGCAAAAGCTCACTACTTAATAGCCTTTTTGGTCGCAAGCTTGTGAGCGTGTCAGCAACTCCTGGTCACACCAAGCACATGCAGACGCACTATTTTGAGCATGTGGAGATGTTGGGTCGAGGTGACAGCTTTTCCTCCCGTGTACTCGTATGCGACTGTCCTGGCGTGGTGTTTCCTCGCTTTAACGTGCCGGTGCTGCTGCAGATTCTGTTTGGTAGCTTTCCAATAGCTCAGACGCGCGAACCGTTTAGTGCTGTGCGATTTATAGCAGAGAATTGTGTGCCTCATCTCCACGAAGTCTACAAGCTTAAGCCTGTGGAGGAAGATAACAACAATTGGAGTCCTTACACGCTGTGTGAGTCTTACGCGCAACTTCGCGGCTTTCGCGTGAAAGGTGGCAAGTTTGACGTGCACCGTGCAGCCAACTTGATACTAAGAGACACACTCAACGGTAGAAAAGTTGTGTTATCCTTTCCTAGGCCAGCGGTGACTTCGCAAGAATGATGAATATAGGCAATAAAATTGCAGTTCTTCTAAACTTGAGTAGAAGAGGCCGGTAATTTTACTTCGAGCGTCTCCATCGATTGCTAGTAAGAATGAATAAAGTTGCTTTTCGCAGCTGAAATTTCAGTAGTATTTCTGCATGTTTCAATAGCGGTGGCTTCGCCAAAAACAGTCGTGCAAGAATTCAACGCAGCAGGGAACATAAATATGGGCCTCGGATGTCTCCTAGACGACAAGAGGAGAAAGCTAGAACTTGGAAGATGTCGGCCTGTGGTTGTGAAGCCAATTGAATGTCCTCATACTCAAAAACATCAGTTTTTTTTGCAACGTGCGATGTCAAAAGATGCTACGATCTGGTTAACATAAATTATTAGCGCGTATCAACTGTCGAATCAGCAAAATTTTTGTCAGATTTAATAGCTGACTGAATGAAGGATGTATTTCGAGTCCGAGTGGAATAAATAGATAACCTACATGTTCGTGGTAATGGATTGACCTCACAAATCACGTATACTTTGTAAGTTGAACCAGCCTTCGCATCATCAATAACGATCAAGCAGCCACTGTGGCGGATACACCACGTCGCTTGATAAAGCTTTACAAAAACATAAATTCCAAGTGAGTGATAGCCCACGGCTGTTGGCCTGAGGTGATTAATGCACCTACCATAAGATCGAGATCTGCAATTTTTTTCTTCAGCACATAACAAACCAAAACACAAGGTACTTAATATTAGAAATAAGGCTACTCATGACATGACGGCATGAGGTAACCAATGCTTATCATCAATTCGTATGCTTTATGGCACGCGAATTGGCGGGGCTGCAATATCGTCCACTTGATTGCAATCCCTTTAAATCAGAGACTTCGTTTCTTTTACTTCGACCTTGATTCAGATTACATTCTTTTAAGTCAACGTATGGTGTTATTAGGGATATTTCTCACGCCCCTGAGTTCGTTCACTTACATTCTCTCCTAGAAAGACTAAAATGACAATGCTCTCTAAACCGGCCGCAATGCTTTTTGTCGTTCCAAATCAAGGTTGATGCTTTGCCTAAATATAAGCCTTCAAAAGGGTGTACAAGCACTATCAAGCCATAGGATGATCGATGAAGTCGATGATTAGAAAAAAACACCATGAGAATATTCTAAGCATGGAAAAATGCGCTGCCTACACATAAAATCGTCTAACAGTAAATATCCTATAATGTTGAAATGTCCGCCCCGCTACTTGGTCACTGATATTTCTGATAACAATGCTACAGCGGCCGGTCCACTCCCAAAATGACTACATTCTAAAAAATTATGAAGGTGCTCAAAGCATGGTATCGTGCTCTCGAGTGCCCCAAGCGATTTTGTCCTCTGCATGGCCAAAAGGCCTCAGTCAGCCTTTTTAAGTGCAAAATATCACATAGGTCCATCGAAGCCATTTGGTGAGTAATTCTCGCGATGCACTGGGGAGTTGAGCATAATAGACCGACCCGGTGGCGTGGGTCGAGTGGTCAATGCTTCTGGACTTAACGCTGGGTAGCGCGGGTTCGAGCCCCTCAGCGGACAAAATCGTAATCGTACCAGACATGCA